ATCATCATCACCATCACCACCATCATCATCATCATCATCATCATCATCATCATCATCATCATCATCATCACCATCATCATCATCATCATCATCATCATCCAACAGACCAGCCAGTCTCGGGCGAAAGGAGACAAGGAAGTATCTTGTGCTTTACCGTATCTATTTGATTACAAATAATAAGATAATAATTGTTATTAAAGGCGTTCTTTGATGGGTTTAATTAGATAAACACAACATATTTAACGCAGCCCCTTAAAGTAATGCTTTCTTTTTTGGAGGGATACTATAACTTGCGAGAGATAGCTCCAGATACAAAAAGTGCCCATTTCTAATCTTAGACTGGAAAAATAGAGCCCCTGAATATTACCCTTGTGCGTTTATTCCAAAAAGCTGGTCTGCTTTAGTGCGCTGTTACTCCAGCTGAAACGAAGTAAGTGCGAAATAGTTTGGTTATGTCCCTCAAACATAATGAAAAAACATGAGGCCTTTAATAATAATAATAAGTTTGAAATTACCCGAATCACAAGGATGGGCAGGTCGGAGCTGAGCTAGAAAGATTTATTCATGAAATAACACAATGGGGGAAAAAGGTGCAAATGCGCGTGTTTGGGCGTGTAAACATGCAGTTTTTGTATAAATTTTATAGTAATAGAAAAATGAACCCAGAACGTCATCATCATCATCATCATCATCATCATCATCATCATCATCATCATCATCATCACCATCATCATCATCATCATCATCATCATCATCATCATCATCAAAAGGTCATGGGTGCGGGCGTTGTGTCCTGGGAAAAAGCCGTTTTTCACCAAATTGCCTCGCTTCACCAGGGTTTGAACGGATACCCGGCTATAGACAACGAAAGATCTTGCCAGTTTGCTAGTATTTGGGCGCTTAACCCTATCCGTACGTCGTGTTTTACTATCGTATCCATACGACATGGGGAAGTCTCTGCCACCACTTTCCAAAGAAGAAATTTACTTGTTAATCCGATCCGTACGCTTTGCATAGCAGTCTTTCAAAATGATTTTTTTTTTTTAGAAATACTGAAAGTTTCAAAGAGATCTACGTACTAGAAGTATTCTACAACGTGAAGTTTACAGCACCGCGGGTACAAAAAGACCCCACGGCGTACGGATAGGGTTAATCAGCTGTTCCCACTGAATGCTTATGAAGAAGCTGAAAATGTTTTTGGGTGTTCTAGGGCGATTTATTTTATTGAAATGTTATGATCCATTATGTTCTAGGGAAAGAATACAGCAGTGGTTTCCCCATGCCTTCTGATTAAAGAAGCTTTGGGGAATATTGTAACAACAGGCAAGTTTGATAGAAAGAGATGCAGAGGCAGACAGCGGGAAAAGATACTGGACAAGATGACAACATGGCTAGGAGCAGCAAGAACAACAGACACCATTGCTGAAACGCAAGACAGAGTGAAGTGGAGGTCCATGATCGCCCACGCCAGTCGGCAAGGCACCGGATGATGATGATGAGGGCGTCATGGGGAAATAATATTATAGATTCGAAAGCAAACAGAGCTAGCTTCTAAGCGGGTATATTTGTGCTATTTACTTGCTATTTATTGTTATTGTAGTAATCATCACCAGGGTTAGGCCGCGCAAGAACAGGTTTGAGAGTGTCAAGGAAACGCTGAGAAGCTACAACATCTTAATTGAAAAAGCTGCTGGGTTGAAAAAACAAAGAAAACAGCGTCTCCACCTGTCGGTCAAGCGGCAAGAAAGGATGAAAAACAAAATGGAAAAGTATCACAATCATCATCACCATCAGCATATCATCATCATCATTATCATCATCATCACCATCACCACCACCACCATCATCATCATCATCATCATCATCATCATCATCATCATCATCATCATCATCA